GTTTTAGGTACTTTAGTCATTTTAAATTTATAAAGAACTTGACTCAAGTATAGATAGTACTCAGTACACTATTTAACAACTAAGCAATAGCCTCATTACTATTAATAAACCCTAAGCCGTAACAAAGGGCTCTAAATGTGGCCTCTGCAATGCACACCAAAAGTACAAACAGGGACACCATCCATGCGCAACATGGCACTGTTAGTACTCTGATATTTTTCAGCTGTTGATGGAATCAGCCTCTCTGAGAGCTACCACATAGTTCGGGAAACCTGACTACCAGCCGGCCTCAGAACCATAAAACTGAGTTTTAGAGCTGTACCCTCATTAGGAGATAATAGAATGAGTTGCCCAGTCATAAAAATAGAGACACAAGCAATACCCACGCATTGAGTCAAGAAGATCCAGCGTTCAACATCCTAAACTGGAAACAATGTATTGAAAATACATCTGCGCCAGCCTAATAGATGAGGAAGGGGTGCGAGGCTGGTCAACAGATAGAATCTGTTTACCCATTAAGTCTTTGCCTAGGAGGCCTTCTACAAGACAGCAGCTGGATGCATGTAACATCTGCCCAAGATGAGTATTTTTATCGAGACACCATCTCTAGCCTTTACTCAACCAAGAGCCCCAAGGCAGGGGGTGTTTTAATTCGGAGTTAACTTCTCCTAGCCTTTGCCTAAAAAAGCGTATCCTACAAGGCAGCAGGACATGGAGCAGGTTGTACTGGGTTACATGTTACCAGTAGCAGGAAAACCTGACCTGACTGACACTTTCTATATGAAAACGTCTATGTAATGCTACTACTTCATTAGAAACTACTTCATTAGAAACAACAAGCTTCTTAGGACCAAAATTGTTCAACATTTTTTTTGCGTTATGGGTTACAAAATTGTTCATTGTGGTTGATAAAACTTTTCCTTTTGTTACAGGTGAGGTGGATTGTACAATATGCGTCAAATTTCTTTATTTAGCTAACTTTGTGCAAGAATGTCTGATATCTTTTCTTATTTGTTGAAAACAACTTTTTCAAAGAAAAAGATTTTCATTGCTTGTGGAAAGATTCAAACTAGTAATTATGATCTATATCTGTATTAGTTTCAGGTGAAACAATTGGTGGAAAAATTGCTGTTTTAGTACCATTCCCAACAAGAAATTATTTATGCTATTTTTTATGGGATGACTTTGATGCATTCGATATGTGGCTAAAATCCCACTAAAACCACACTAGATAAGAATGAATGCCGCACTATTTTCTTAAAAGAAAGTTATAACAAATACATAAGCAAATATTTTGACTTGTTTAAATATCATATTTTAAGAACTCAGTAGATTTATTTATGTATAGAATCTACAAATAATTATACATATATACCAATAAAAATAAGTAACATACTGTATGTATACTTATTTGTATACATACAGTTTAATACTTATTTACCAATACCAGTTAAAAACTTAAATGGAAAAACATCATACTTCTTGCTTTTATTAAGAATTTTATTTATAGATAAGTATATACGTACAACAACTTTTCATTAAATTTCAAAAATTCATTCTGTATTAGTTCTGTACACAAAATTAATCCGATGAATCATGCAATGAAGACACAATATTTTCTTCAAACTCTTTATCTAGCATTATTAGAATGTCTTTGAACAGTAGCTAAAGATAGTTTCATATGAAATCCATGTACAAACAAAATTGAGAGAAAAAATCAATAATATCGAAAGCTTGCTCAGATTGCCCAGCGTATTAAAATCTATCGTTGTTTCCTGGTAACCCAACATATTAAGATATTTTTATCTTCATTGAATATAACTCTGAATTACAATTTTTTTTTTGTATAACTAATAGAATAAGCATAACTTAAGTATAACTTGTTAACAACAAGTTAAATTAACAACAACGAAAAGTTAACTTATTAAGTATAACAAAAAAATTTTATTTGTTAAGTGTAACTCTGATTTACAAATTTTATTGAAAAATTGTTTTGAATAACAATTGTCAAATATATTCATTAGAAAACTATTCGAACATACTTACAACTATGAATTGAAATGTATCAAAACTGTAAACCACATGATATCATGGAATATTCTAGAGTTTACTACAATGCATTGGAATGGAATCGTAGTTTACAGTTAGTTAAAGTTTAAAATTTAAAATGAGACAAGATTATATATTTTATATGTATGACCCATATGATAGCCACATCTAATTTATAACGTATTTATTTAAGGATTAAACCAAACAAAGTGGAGTAATTATGTGGATGCATTATGTGTTTCACATGTGGGCCACACTGATCATCAGCATATTAATCAATCATCAACTGGAATATAGTTCCACACTTTTCCACTATGGCCACATGTGGGCCACATATACCTTTCTTGTCGGGTTGTTACGCCCATTAGCATAAATAAAACACTCACATTTCCCACCAAGAACAACTCTAGTATTAAGATCTAAAAGTAATAAAAAGTTGTTTTTTTAGTCTAAACACAATATTGTTTATAAACAGAACAATAATAATGCAAAATATAATTGGTTTTTATTTGCTTATTTTTTTTATAAAACTTACTTTTTTACTTAGGTTGATCGTTGAATAAAAATCTTTTTGAATCTGTTTTCTTAACACTCACTAGACCTTTTCTGCAATAAAAACAGAAAAGGTTTTTAACACTTAACAAGATTTTCATAATTTTTTCCTTGTTTTGTACCTGATTTATTGCATTTGGTTTGAATGCATATGCTATATGAAAAAAAGCAATGAATTACTTTTTTTCATACAACATATGCAAAAGCATTTTTAAAACTCATTATGATCTTTTGCAAAGTATTACATATCTTTTCTATTTTTGAAAAATAGTTCCTATATTTTTAATTCAGCTCTTAAATCTTAAGTTAATATAAGTTTTTTACTTAAATAATTAAATAATGTTGCTGTCATTTTTAAATATGTTCATAAATATTGTTAAAGTCTTTTAAAACAACAATAACTATAAACCAATTAAAAACTAATAAATATTATTATAGCCAATTGCACTGCTGCAATTACAGAAAGTAAACAACTATAATGGCTGACAGAAAAATATTATTTCAATACAAAAACATTGTTATTTATAAAACTTCTAACTAAGTTTTCTCAGAAAGTTACCAACAAATGATTTAAACTTAGATGGTTTCAGAATGTATAAATGCACTATATTCAAAATCAAAAAAAAATTTCATGAGACTTGATATAAGGTCTAAGGTCACCTTCAGGGTACATGTGGATACCAATGTATAGTATTTTGATTTCTAAATTAGAACATTATGGAATTTTCAGGATTGTAAATGACTGATTTCGATCTTTACTTTCAGATCAAAAACAATTTGTAAGTATTAATGGCTTTAATTATAGTAATAAATCAGTTTTGTGTGGTGTTCCTCAAGGTTCTGTTTATTTGTTTTTAATCTATGCTCTTTTGTTTTTAATACCTGTTAATGGTCTAACCAACTCTATTTACTTCTTGTCAGTTTATCTCTTTGTTGATAATATAAATCTCTTGCACATCAACAAACTGTATTATTCTTTATTTAAAAATGTAAATTTGGATCCAAAAGGTATAGTTTACTAGTTAAATGCTAACTTAATATGTCCTAACACCAAAAAAACTGAACAAATTTTTTTTTATCTCTGAAAAAAACTATTTCTTTAAAAAAATTGAAATCAAAATCAAAATAAATTATAATCTCTAACTAACGGTATACTTTCAATAATTTGTCGTTATGACAATAAATTTACACTTAAGAATATTTTCTATGCATTATTCTTATCTCATCTTAACTAATCTAGCTAAGTATACAAATACATTTTTTACTAAAAATATATAAACATACCATCTTTTACAACCCAGAAGTATGGTAAACATTCTATTGTTTATCAGTGCGTCTTTAAATGGAATAGGAACCTTGTATGCAATTTAAATGAGACCAAAAAAATACATCAAAAAACATCTTTTCTCTAACTTAAATAAAATAAATTTCTTTCTTTTCTTTTACAATTCTTTTTTCTAGCTTTAGGAAAGCCTCTAAATTGTTGAGGGCTGTTAAAAGAATCTGATGATTTAGACAGATCAAGCATGACAACATTAGTAGCAACCGGTTTATTTTAATCAAAAAGAGGTGGATATCACAGTATGTTCAAATCTTTATTATTACAAGCAGTGAGGTTTCCATTTGTTGAAAGATATATATGCTAAAATCTCAGATGTAATGTTTAGGTTATTTTTTATACAACTATTTTTAACATCAAAAGGTCTGTACAAACAAAATCAAGAGAAAAAATCAATAATATCAAAAGCTTGCTTACGTTACCCAGCATTTTAAAATCTAATGTTGTTTCCTGGTAGCAAACCCAATGTATTAAGATATTTTTTTTTTTATTCAGTATAACTCTGATTACAATTTTTTTTTGTAAAGTATAACTAATAGAATAAGTATAACTTATGTTAAAAAATCAATTATATATATATATATATATATATATATATATATATATATATATATATATATATATATATATATATATACATATATATACATATATACATATATATATATATATACATATATATATATATATATATATATATATATATATATATATACATATATATATATATATATATATATATATATATATATATATATATATATATATATAAATATATATATATATATATATATATATATATATATATATATATATATATAGATATATATATATATATATATATATATATATATATATATATATATATATATATATATATATATATATATATATATATATATATATATATATATATATATATAGATCTATAGATATATGCATAAAAAGAATACATTTTTATTTAACACTTTTAATTGTGTCAAAATAGTTACAAAAACATAATAGAAACTAAAAAAAAATAAACTCATTATAAAAACTTTTGATAATTACAGTGGCTAACCGTGACTTAGTAGAAGTCGAGCAGAATTAACACAACTATTACAAACTGCTGTTTCATATGGTGTTTTATTGTTTTCATCACATAATTCTGTGTTAGCATTATATTTAAGTAGCACTTCAATGCAGCTGCATGCATCTATAGATGCTGCTATATGCAGTGGTGTATAACGACCATCTGACATCGAATTTACATCTGCCCCATAATCAAGTATTCGCTTAACGTTATCAGGCTTTTTAGAAAAAACTGCATCATGAAGTGTTGTGTATCCTAAGGGACCACTTCTAACATTAAGAGTAGATTTTAAAGTTTCTTCATCTTTTTGATTGTTTTTGTTCCTATTTAAAAAAAAAAAAATTTTTTGATTACAATTTTGTAAATATTATATTTAAAAGTTTCAATTTCAAAAAAAAACCTGATTCCTAAATTTATTGTTCTAAGAATCATAAAAACAAAATACAATAAATATTATTTGAAGTTTATGTAATTCAGGTATTTTAACTTGTATTTACATGATTTAATTGTATTAAATATAAAAGATTTATGTTATACATGAATTTTTAAGCAATAATTTAACTATGTTAATTTTTTTAAATTCATTTAAATATTGAATGATCAGACTTTAACAAATTTAATTAATAATTTCTAATAATTGTATAATATAAAATAGAAGTATAATTGTATATTATAAAATAATAATAACTGTATAATATAAAATAAAAGTATAATTAGAAGACAAATATAATATATTTTTTATCAAATTATACAATTATTATAAATTATTAATCAAATTTGTCATATATTATATATGACAAGATATGTCATATATTGAATATGACAAAATAAATTTTTGTCATATATTATATGTGACAAAAATTAACCTGGTTAGTGACCAATTACAAGAAAAAATAACTGTTAAAATTTGATTACTCATTAAATACAAACAATTTAAATAATTATTGACTGTATATATTTCATTAAAATTACCGTATTTTTTCTAGAAATCCTACCATAGTTATCACAAGATGTTAACTTTTTCATCAAATTAGCTTTATCAATTTTATGTCCATTTTAAAGTTTTATTTTTTCTTGGAAAAAAAGCAAAACTCCGCTTAACATGAGACTTCGGTCACGTGACGCTCTCTAAAAAAATGTATGTAAAAAATATTATCTCTCATTAAGGTGGCCATCGTTGGCTTAAGAAAAAAAATTCCGAGAAAATTCTTCTTGGCCCGTCGTTACTATTGCCATACGGCTTAGTCTTATTTACAAATGCCGTGTGGATCGATTAAAGTGTAAACGATAACTTACCGTTTACACTTTAATCAATTTTAGTTATACTTCATCAACCTTATCATTTTTTTTTTTTTTTTTAAATATATATATTTCGTCGCTATGAGTAATTACAATAACATAGAGCATGAATAAAAATATAATATGACCGGGGCAAAAAGAAGAGTGTAGTTGTCTTATCACTAAGCCCCGTAATAAATACACCGTAAGTTACAATGCTTATAAAAACTGTAATAATTTAAGTTACATATTTTTATAATTTTTTTTTTACCGTTAAAGTTTACTAAAAATATATTTTTAATAGGGAATAAAATAACAAACCAAAAAAAAGACAAGCAAAAAAGAAGAAAAACAAACGAAATAGACAAAACAAAACAAAATAAATAAACGAAAAAAAAAAGCCAGTAATATTATTCATCATATTTATGGATCTGAATAAATAATCTTAGTAATAAACAATTATTAAAATTAAATTGTTAAACATAATTGTTATGCTGAAAATTATTAATAATAGTACTCTCATTTGAACGCTTTAGAAGAAATTTAGCTCATTGTCGTTTAGTAAAAGATTTTGCTCAAGTTTAGTTTTAAATTGATTAAGTGAAGAAAGTGTTTTAAGATCATTATTTAAAAGTGTATTCCATAATTTAGGACCTCGGTTTGTGATTGAGTATTTGGTGGCAGAATAATAGGTTTTGGATTGAGTATAGTTATTATTTGAAAATCTTGTGCTGTATATATGATTTATTTTTTTAAATAAAGAGTTGAATAGAAGTGGTGCCATTTTTTTATAAGGTTAAACATAAATATAAGAATATGATAGAGATTTAATTTAAAAACATTTAGAATATTAAGTTTGCTAAAAAGTATTTTTGTATGAGAGAAGCGATTTTCATTTGTAATAATCCCAATGGCATGTTTTTGTTTGCAGAGGAGTTTACTTAGTTTTGTAACATTGGTGCTGGACCAAGCAATGTTAGCATAGTTTAGTTAACATTGTATAAATGAATAGTATATGTATTTAAGACTAGATTGGTTTAAGAACTGTTTAGCTTTATACAATATTCCAATATTTTTAGAAATTTTATTCTCAATTACACTTATATGTTCTCTCCACGTAATATTTTCATCGAGAATTACGCCTAAAAATTTTAGAGACATTTCTTTTTTTATTATATTTCTATCAATAAAAAGATTTAAAGTTTCAATGGAATATTTTCTTTTTTATGAACGCAATGGAATAATGTTTATTTGGTTTTAGCAATGTTTAAGGATAATTTATTGGATTTAAACCATTGGGTTAGTTTATCAAGTTCTTTGTTAACTGTTAAGAATAAAATAATAATGTCTTCATGAGCATAAAATAAATTAGTGTCATCGGCGAATAAAATTGTGTTTAAAATATTAGAAAATTTATACAAGTCATTGACATAAATTAGAAACAAAAGGGGCCCTCGAAACAGCTTCTACCCGTCACAAAATACAAATTTATAGAAAAATAAAGTACCTTAACTTGCAGTCTTTGCCGTCAAATACTGGAAATACAGTAGGCTAAGAGCAATGCCAGCGTGTAGAAAGGAGTGGATGGGGATGATGAGTATGTGTCACACACCCTTTTTAATTAATATATGCACCATTAGTCGGCAAATTGGCAAAAACTCTTTTTGTGGCTTCAGACGGCAAGTTGAAACTTTTTCTTTTAGATAAAAATTGAACGGAAAAATTGGACTTAAGCTCTTTATCATGAGTTGGCTTTATTTTGAATAATGCTTGGAGAATTTAAGAATTTTTTTTTTTTTATCAAGTTTTGTATGACACCCCCAGCCCCACTCGACACCTACTAGCGCCGGCTTCAAATGGGAACCCTTTAATTGTTAAACTTGACGAACAGAAATGAAACTGTATTCATTTTTAATGCATAGCGCGATATCCATAGACCAATATTTAATGCCGATTAACAACACCTCCTATGGTTTTTAATTCTATTTTAATAGCATTTTAAACATTTTCAACAGTTACATTCATATCAATAAAATATATTTTAAAGAGACGCCATTTAAAAGTTTTTTACGAAATAAGTAATAAGTTTTTAAAGAACGTTTTTTGGAATATAAAATACTATAAAATACATTTTTGTATATCCAACAAAAATACAACAAATTCTAATCTAAACATTTAATAATTCAATTTTTATTTAGACATTTATTAATAGTTAACTCAAAAAATACAAAATGAAAAAATAACTATAAAAGTTTTGTTTACCAAATTTATTTTTTATTTATGATACTTTTATTGTTTATGACGTTTTAAAACAATTTCATTGGATAGTTTTTTCTTAATAAGAAAATGTTACTATAGCGGCGCACGTAGGAGTATTTGACGATTTTAGCTGGCCAAAATTATATCTCTCTTTTTAACAGCTGAAAACTTTACCATATGACAAGAAATTGTAAATTAAATGTTTTTTGTACAAATCCAAGCCAGTGGCGTTCAATATAGGGGAAAGATGGGTACTTTAGGGATTACATATTATTATATTCAATAGGATTTGAGGAAATAAAAGATATATTATTTTTCTAACTTTATTATGGTAAATAATATACTATGTTTTGATATTTAATTAGATTCCACTTCGTCATTGTCAGAATATTCTTCATTTTCGTTGTTTTCAGTGTCGGAATCTTGGACTTCTCTAGGAAGAAGCAATTCCACAGCTTCTTTTGAAAAAGGCTTTGTAAGTTTGTGTTTCTTTTTCCCAATGCTGGACACCAGAGGGTCGGATGTTAACAATAACCTATTGATGATATCTTGGTTACAGTCGTTTCTAGAAAATTTTCTAGCATAGCTAAGTCTGTACTCCCGGAAATGTTTGTTTCTGGCTTCGGCAGCCTCTTCCGACGTTTGTCCAATTGGCAAAAGCGCATTCTCTACTATATCAGGACCATGTACTAAAACTTTATGCAGAGTTGGAGTCATTGGACACCTGGGGTATAGTTCAACATAAAGCTTTGCATTATCCAAAGTATACTGTCTGAACTTTTCTACATCAATCTTGTGGCCACTGGAAATTACTTCTAGGATAATTTTCATTCTGGAAATTAAACGGAAGTTTACTCCAGTGATATCTGCAGATGTTTCCGGGTCGTTAAAGAATCTCCTACTTGTGTTGCCGTTATTGGTATTCCCAAATTCCAGCCTTAGGTATGTCAACAAGAATGCCCATTTTGCTCTTGAATTCATTTTGGATTTTCTTTTTCCTATCTGAGATGAGTCTCTTCTCATCTTCATTCAGCCTTTTCTACCATTTTTTTACAGGCAATTTATATGATAGGCGAAGGAGACTTTCAAAAAACCGTATTCTAGCATGCAGAATGGATAGTCCAAGTTTGTAGCTGCTTTGATTGTCAACACATATTCTGTCCAAATCATTAAATTGCTTGATGTTGCTCCACAAATATAACATCGCATGGTCGATTTAGTGGTGGTTGCTGCGTTACAGACTTTTCCGTCAAACATAGTTAACATGTTCTACTGCTATGTCTTGAAGTTGAGTTGGTTTCAAGCCTGTAATTTTGTTTTCCATGTAAGCAATTTCTTCAGCTATTACATCAGCAGTTTCTTTTATGAACTTAATTCGAATTGGCCTGCATAACCTTGGAGACGATGGTGTAGGGTTTTGCCAGATAACCTTTTATTTACTCCACAAGTTAGCTGTAATGGAACCATTGAGCATTGAAATATACTGGCACCAGAATTAGAGTCATCCTCAAACTTTTGATTAAACTGTGTCTGCTGGGAGCCATCACAACCTCATTTCGTAGATAATTTCATATGTTTACGCCCACTTTCCGTTAGAGTCTTGATAACTTCTTCTAAAAACAACACCAATCTTTCGGCAGTATGGTTTAACAGACTTCAGCTAAACTTTCTGTAACTGTGAATGAATCAAGATCAGAATAGCAATTGCTTCGACCAAAATACTGTAGCAGGGCCATTGCTTCTTGTCACTTGTACGTACGATTTCATATTGAGATTTTGTTAGGCCTGCGTCAGTAAATATTAAAAGAGCCTCTAACGGTGTCAATAATTTTTTTGTAGGTTCAAGACTGCTGCGATAGGCTTTTTTATACTTTCCCGCTCGTTTGGGAGATGTTTTAAGATCTTTGAGGACGTTTACAGCACTTCTTTTGCCACTTGTTGTCAAACAAGTTTCAGCTGCAAAAGCAATAGCTTCTGGTTCCACATCTTTCCTGAGCTGTTCTGTTTTTCTCCTCTTTGAACGTTCACTAGAATCGACAAAACTTTTTCTTGGTCGTCCGGCTGATGATGGAGTGGATGGGGTACCGGGTATTTGGAAACTCCCTTGCAGCCAAGGGCCATGCTTCCTAATAAATATTTCATGAGTTCTGGATAAAGACAACCACATTTTTCTAAAAATAGCTTTCAACCTCGACATTTGACGCTTGTATACTGTTTTTAGTTCTTCGGTATATTGATTTCTCGATAACAAATTTTGATCAGCTAAGTCCATTTTTTCATTGAAATTTGGAGCCTCCTGCTGCTGAATACTGCTGTAGAAATCCAAACGAGAGATATTTTGCATTCCTGATGACCCATCTAGAAAAAAAAAAATTTGAAAAATTCATCTTGGACCTTGATGTGCTTAGAACATGATTAAAATTTAGATGGCATCTATATATATATATATATATATATATATATATATATATATATATATATATATATATATATATATATATATATATATATATATATATATATATATATATATATATATATATATATATAACCCTGACCTTGATGTGCTTAGAACATGATTAAAATTTAGATGGCATCA